TCCAAAATATTCGTTACTCACTAGACTTGAGACAATGAAAGAAATTGAACCTAGGATCCAAGTTGAATCCGTGCATTATAAAAGTAGAGTTCTACTTCTATCTTCTCGAATAAGTAGGATACGCAATTAATTACTTAATTAATAATTACAACAAAAGCTTAACATATTGAGTACTGCAAGTGAATGGTTAATTAACTATAATTAAGAACTCCCATGTCTGGGCACTTGGTGGCATGGACTAGTGGGACGACACAAACAATGATACGAGAACATAAGACGGGTGTTTCTTGGTTTGTTCGTAGGCGAAACGAGCAATGTCTTCCAGGAAATGTTTCTTCATAATCTATCTTTCATGTTTTGTCCTATCCGCATTAAAGTGAGGAAAAGGGTCCGAGGAGTGGGCGTAGTTTAATTTGATACTTTTTGCGTCGACCTTAAACGCGCACAATAAGTTTTTCTCCCTTGGGGGTTTTGCGTATTGCCAAGAAGAAATTTACAAAAGAGAGCATAATATAGCTAGCTAGGATTCTTTATTAAAGAATAATATAAATTATTAACAAGCTCTTACCCAATACTTTAAAGTTTTGGGTTGAATTGGTTCTTTAATGGTATCAGAGCTTTAGTGACCATAAGATTACGAGTTTGATCACCACCGCCCCAACTTGTGAAATTAAATAAGCATTAGGTAAACCAAAAATAGAAGAAAAAAAAATTGTGCCTAAGCAATATTCATGCTTCAAACTCAAAGGACTCTTGTATGAGGAGATGTATTAGATAATAATATAAACCATTAAAAAAGCTCTCACTGCGTTAGCCACGGTAGCAAGCGGATTTCGGCGTAACTTCCCGATAACTGCCTAAGTTCCCGGTCCTTTATTCGTTCTATAGGAGCCATCCCGATCTCATCTACCTAGAGAATCGCCATAGTATTAGGCGATTATGAACTAACATCTTAAGATTTTGGGTTGAATTTTTTTTTATAACTTATGATCTTAATTTAATGTTCATGTATACTGCGTTTTGTGACTCGGCAAAGGCCATAGCGGCATATAGCATATAGCTTCTGAATTGAATTAGGGATTTTGAAAAATACATTATCAGAATAGAACAAAATTAAAAAACCTTACTATTTATTTTTTGGAGAATGATCCGTTTACAATTTTTTTTATAAATTACATTAAGTATAATTGGTCATACACTCTTGATTAAAGTATGACCGGTCATACTTAATGTAATTTGTAAACAAAAAATTTATAAATATAATCTTCCCATTATTTTTTTGCCATCTTTTTTAAGTTACTCGAAACAAGTTGCCTGTTCACAGTCAATGTACTGGAAATACGCATGCTTTCTTTCAAGGATTTGTTAACGTCAACGTAAAGAGTGACAGACTATATCATTTAAAGGTCTTTTATAAAACGATTTAAAACCAATGTTAAAGAACCGATCATGACCCCTCAGAATACTGGGTTAATGAATTATTGGTTTAATCAATGAGTCATTAATTTAACCAATTAAATTGTGTTTATATAAAAATATGTATAAATATAATAATGTGTTTTTTTAAAATCGAAGTCCTTGCAGCTTAGTGACAAGGGTTGATGGCAAACCCCAATAGCTCATGAATTCGATCTTTGTAGAATGCAAAACTTAAAATATTTTATTAAAAATTATAAAATTGGTACTGGTTGGACAACGAATTATTCCTAATTTACCGATTTAATACTGTGGGTTATACCCGCATAATTTATCGGTTTGATATCGGATTGATTACGTAACTAGTCTGTTGATTGACTGAATTGAACCAGACCGATCCATGATATGGTTTCGGGTCAACCGGTTGGACGTGGATTTGATAACAATGTGTTAAACGACCATATTGAATTAACATCTTGTTGTTTTACATTTCCAATTTGAAAAATAAAAATAAAAATATGTATCGAAGTAATATCTTTATTTGCTTGGAAAATTTTATTTTAAAAAATATTATACAATTTTGATATATACTAAGGGAAAAATGTTTCTGCAGTTAATGCAGATAAGTTCTCTGCATTTACTTCCAAAACGACGTCGTTTTAGTATTGAAATCTTAAAAAATTATAAATATAAAGACTATTATAACCCTGAAATAAATTAAAATTACAAAAAACCATGATTTCTGCCTCAAAACGACGTCGTATTGGGTTTACTGCAGATAACTTAACTGCAGTACCTGGAGAAAAAAATGAACCCATATACTAATGGAGTAAAAAGAAAATTTGAATTAATGGAAAATTATGTATGTATGCATGTATGTTTTTGTTATAATGATAATTTAATTTTGTGATCATCCTTTGAAAGTTTATTTATTATTATTAATCTAATTTAAATCTGTAATGACAACTGGTATATATATACAAACTAATAAACACAATCTACTTTATTCCGATTCTCAGTTCCGTGCATGGGAGTTTTATATATTTGTAACACATCATTTTCACATTCTTAATCGCTTGTGTCAATTTTAAGGATTTGAAGTTATGATGCCAACTTATATATCGCGGTTTGCAGCTAAGAAATGGAAAGAGGAGCGGAAAGGATTAAAAATTATAAACAATTGGAGTGCCTGAGATATTTCAACGGCGTAGAAGCCAAAGGAAAGAAATTGCCTATAGTTAACTAGCTGCGTCGGCTAATAGTTAATTCATTACTATTTATTAATGTGTTGGATTTTTAGTTTTGGTGATGAATATTATATCTTTGAGCATGTGAAAATTTGTGTGTTCTTTAAATAAATCGATAAGATATACGTGTTTAAATTATCTTATTAATTGTGATTAAAATTTTTAAATTCCTGAGGTTGGTTTCATGTTGCAACTTGATTTTAACAGGGGGTTTATTATTAATCTGATTTAAATTTGATTTGATAGGATTTTAACGTGTTGAGTCATTGCTTATTATTTGAATCATAATAAAATTGAGATACATATTTAGAATATATGATTCAATATGTATTGTATTAATTACATTAATTAATAATGGAGATAATTAACTTTTTCTTCTTCATTCTGATCAGGCTCTAACTTCAATGAATAAAAATGACCAGTCAAAATCTATTAATTTGTTGTTGTATAAAACCAGAGAGAACAAGTGAGTCAATAAACCAGCGTAATTATGCCAATTTTATGAGCTGTGCGTTCCACAACTTAAAAGAACATTTCTTTCTAGCCCGAAGACGGCTAGCAATTGTTAAGGAGAATAGCTTTAGGGGCAATTTGGTAGAGGAAAAATATGTAGGAAAAGTCAATTTTTTGGAAATGTGACAAAAAAATTATTTGGTAGACAAAAATATTATCGAAAATATTGACTCATTATTGATTCTATGTTTGATTGATTGTTAAATATTATGTGAGATGATTTTATAAAATTACACGCATCAAACCCAGAAACCTACATCCATCGCAACGCATAATTTCCACTTCATTCGCCGGAATTTGTGAATGGAAAACCCAGAACATTGTCGTTTTGAAACCTTCCTTATTCATTCTCCAAAACTCTCATCAATGATTGACCCAATGCTCGCCGCTGACAATGACTCTCTTTCTTCACCCCCAATCGAATAAGGGTGCCATTTTTTGTTGAGTATGATCTCGAAACCCACTTTAAAAACAAAAACAAAATTTTTTTTTTTTCTTTTTGCAAATTCCGACAAACTATGTCTCTCTAATTTCTTTTTTTCTTCTCCCAGTGCGAACCTCTTGATATCAAAAAATATCTGAAAGGAAAATCAAAAGATTACAATTTGATCTCATTGTCAAGAAACAAAATGAAAACGAGAAATGACAACGGTCACAGATGGAGGAAGAAAGTCTCTAACACAGGGCATTATTGTCCCAAAAATAATGTCAAAAATACCCGGAATTTCAAGAATACCACCCTCTTTGGATGGTATTTTCGTTTACATTTTGCTTACAAAATAAAATCCGGAAAAAATCACATTTTTTAGAAAATTTTCATAAATATATTTTCTTTAGGGCCTATTTGGAGCACCTGATAAAGAAAATATGATAGGATAACTTATCATATCATACTTTTATCTCTAGTTTTATCCTATTGTCTCATTTTATCCTATCAAATACATGATTTCTTATCCTATGGGGGAGCTGGGTCAGGATTCAGCAGGACATGATACTAATATTGGATACTCAATATATTCCCACGCTATCCAATATATTTGAATTTATTGTATTATATTTTGTTTTTTCTTTCTCCTTTCTCCTTCTACATAATTATATCAGATGGCTAATCATGTGCTCATCAAATACATGACATGATATAGGCTTATCAACTCCATATCATATCCTACCCTTATCCTATCTTGTCCACCAAACGAACCCTTAATGATAAATCTCAATAAGTGGTCCAACACCACATCTCAACCCAAAACCTTAAAACACAAGTTGAATGGGTCTTTTTTGCTCTTATATGAAATTCATTTGGAACATTTCTAATCGATGTAGAACTTCATCACTACTCACACTTGGTTATTTTTAAGATATATATACTCTCTCTTTTTTTGCTAAAAAAAAAAAGGAAGTTCAGCTGGAGTCGTTGTAAGGAAAAATTCGATATGAAGTGAAGAAAATCTCAAGCGGTTTTTTGGGGACTGCATTATGACCGAATCGTGATAAACCAAATTGTACACATATCATTTTTCCTTATCTTTTGTATTTTTCTGCAGCCATATTATTTACATTTTATTCACATCAAATTTTAATTTTATAAGCTATTATTATTGAAAAGCAGGAATGAGTAGCCCTCCTCTTGGTTTGGCTGATATACAAAGTATAACGTCACTCTCACTAAGTTCCAACAGCTTACTTCAAATATTGGTGATACATTCGATTTGGTGTTTTTAAGGCTTCATTTTGTCTTGACCCTTTTCCTTAATTTTAACCCATCCTTAAATTTCATCCCCATCACCTATCTATCTATCTATCTTAAATGTCAGTGACAGTACCATGGCATGCCAGATCCAAAAATCCCAACACCACAATAAAAATCAAACTCAACCAAACCCTAACTCCACCACAAGTACCACAGCTTCATCATCATCATCAACTTGGATGTGGAACCCTAGGGAACACCACGAAGATGATGACTCATGGGAGGTAAGAGCTTTTGCAGAAGACACAAGGAACATCATGGGCACCACATGGCCTCCAAGGTCCTATACCTGCACCTTCTGCAGAAGGGAGTTCCGCTCAGCCCAAGCTCTTGGTGGCCACATGAACGTGCACCGCCGTGACCGTGCTCGTCTCCACCAAGCGCAACCGTCCGGTGGTGCCGTCAACCACCCCACGCCGGCATTCATAAATATCCCACCTCAGGAGCTTGTAGCAAATGCTGGATTGTGCTTCCTCTACCATTTGCCAAGCCCTAATCCCACCTTCCAAGTTCCAAGTCCCAATTCTACTCTGAATAATGCAAATGAAGAATCTCCCTCTACTCTTCTCTCCATCTCATCATACCCATCAAACAACTTGATGATGCAAACTTGTCCTCCATCCTTCAATATTTCTTCTTATTGCTGCAACTCTAGCACACTGGAACAACCAACAACCTCCTCCTCCGTTGATAATGGCCACCTCGAAGAGCTTGATCTAGAGCTACGCCTTGGGCATAAGCCAACACCAACCTGACATATAGCTAGATAGATAGATGGATATTTGTGAACCATCTTGGTTTTAATTAAGGTGTGAGAAAAATCGAAGTCCAACAAGTACTTTTATATATTTGCTCTCTTTTGCAGCTAGTGTGTGGAGAAGATGAGAGAGTACTGTAATTTGCTGAAGCTGATAAGCCTCTGTGGGTTTTTTCTTTTTCTTTTTTCGGTTTAATTTCTCTCATTTCTTGGTTGATTGATTTTATTAGTGTGTGATTGTATCTGTGACTGAAGATGCGCATGGAGGAGCAGGTTAATTGGGGTGGGGAAGGATAGGGAAGAAGGAGAGGCACCACATGTAAATTTTCAAAGAAAAAGAAAATGTAAGTTGCTATTAATTAATTTTTAGAGAAATTGGCAGAAATTAATAATGGAATGGAAGAAGATTAGGGTTTTCAGTGAGACACTGAAAAAGGTTGCAGTGATGTGTCATTTTCTGTTTTACAATTGTCTAAGTACATACATGTCGGTCTGGGCATACATTTCCGTGGGGATTGTTTTCTCTACCATCGCCTAAAACGAAGTAATATTATATTCACTGTTCACACCTTTTGTTTACAGAAAACTACAAATTTGCCATTTTCATTTAGTTTTCAATTTCTTTTGGTTTATTATAGATTTATTTCTTTGAGCATGGGGTATGTATAATTATAAGTATATGGTAGAGAAGTCATTAAATTTTTGTCCATGTAGAAGTTTAAATCATAGAGTCAAACACATTATAATCTTTAGGAAACTTTACCCCCTTGGTGGGTACAGAAAACCTGAGTTCTACCCTGCAAATACTTCGATTTCTAAGAGGTAAATTGTAAAATTATTATGATTGTGGAATATGGAGGCTGAAGTTTAGGAAGAGGTACAGGAAAATGCTTGGCTTAGACTGTAATGTTATATATAAGAACAAGAGCATTGCTAATTATTACAAAAGAAGTCTCCTAAAAAAAATTTATTACAAAAGAATTTCGAGAAATCACCCAAGAAACTAGATGTGCCATTCAATTACGCACACTTATATGATCTTAAACTTTTTAGTTGAGTTAATTTTTTATATTAAGTAATCATTGTACCAAATAAGTCTATTGATATTCAACATTTCGATATCCATGTAATAATAACATCTGGGAGATTAATTTAGTTCGCCTTCTCTTTTGGTTTATAAGATATATAGATGCTAATTAAGACCTCCACTCCAATTCCATCTGACGGTTATTACCACTTCATTCATATATAATTACTCAACTATCTATCTCTCATTTTAATTGAATTTTTGGCTTCCTTTAATACAAGTTTATCTTCTCTACATCTTGAAATGAAATGACTATTTTGATGTTGCATCCTTGTATTCAGATTTCAGAGAAATTCTATATCATTTTGCTTTAGTATGCATGATTCTACTTCTAATTCACGTAGTCGCTTTAACAAAAAAAAAAAAAAAAAAAAAAATCATTTTTGACATAAACCCATTAAACCTTTTTATGATTGAACCGTTAATCACAAATTAATAGAATATATGTTCAGGCATAGGGAAATGGATGAGACCCTATGAATAAAAGAGAGAGAAAAAGGAGTTATACTAACTCTCCTATATCTATAGGAGAAATATTAAACTCATAATATATGTTGGATATATTAAAAATATAGTTCAATAATATGTTCATAAACAAGTCCAATAGGTGAGAGTATGATTATCTGAGTTGGATCCAACACCATGTCACAATTCAAAATCTTAAGGCATTGGGTTAATGAGTCCTTCAATTTTTATACTCTTCATTTAGCCCATTATCAACCAATGTGGGACTCATCACATTTAAATATCTCAACATTTTTGGCACTAGCTGAGTCTTGTCACGGCTCCGCCACTGATGAGCACCCCTTTCAATCCATCTTCACAATTGATTCATAATGTTATTGTTTAGGATTTTTATTTTCCATACGTCATCGGCGGAGTTCAATTTTTTATATCAGTACTTTTTCATAAATTTTTAATATAAACAATCTCAATAAATTTTTATATATCTGCATGTTATAAGTCGATTGACACTGGAGCAACCATCTAATTTTTCTTGCATTTCAGTTTACGATTCCCCTTCTCACAGTTGAGCATATATAGATCTCCTCTAGAACAAAAAAAGATTATAATCAAGTTTTTCTTATCAAATTTGGATGCAACTAATCTTGTTGGAGCATATAGTCCCTCTTCAAGTGTTGTTACGATGTCTTCGATCGGTTTTCAGGCACTGGGTGATGTTTTACTAGCAAATATTTAGGGCTTTTTATCCAAATTTCTTGTTGTATATACTATGGAGAGGTCAATCTGTTTATAAAGATTGAGTTTTGTTGATTGAATAGAATTTTTACATTATAAAACATAAATTTAATGTATGTATTAGAATTCTTAAGAGGTATTTTATGGTAAAAATGTTTAAACCTTTAAAAGTTTGGGAAAAAAATAATTTAAAATAAGTTTATTTATAAAATGAATAAGTAAAATGTATTTACCTTTAAATTTAGGGATTTGCATTCATCATGCAACATGACCAAAAAAAATTTCCTACACACACAACATTTTGTGGAGCCTGCATTTTTGAAGCAAAAAAAAAAAACTACGGCACAGAAACGAATCTCTATAACATAACACAATCATTTTTCCTACAACATAACTTTTACAAAACCCTTAAATTTAAACGAGTTAAGATATCATAATTAATTTATTTTTATTAAAATTAAAAATAATTAGGATACCAAATCTTTTTTAAAAACAATTATATTCTTATTTACTCATTTTAATATAGCTTTATGGGACAAATTTAATCGCTTGGTAAAATCACAGTATTCAGAAATGATGTGATCCTCAGAGCCATTGGAAAAAGTTTTGATGCTTCAAACCTCATACGATCCTTTCTTCAGAAAGTGATATTTGTAAAAAAACAAAAAAATTCTCTCTCCTCTCCCTGTCTTTCTTCCCGTCCACTACTGAATGGGAATGTGCTCCGGGAGCAGAAAAATGAAGCTCCATGGCCACTTGGTGGTGAAAAATTAACTTGAGAGGGACAAAAACCAGCATAGGTTATGACCGCTATGTACTTTCTGCCCAGGACTGTGAGAAAGTCAAGACAATAGTTGCAGGACACGTTAGTGAATGTAATTTTCAAGTGGCCTTTACTGCGGTTAGAAACGCATTAGTTTACAGATATGCATCTGTCTAGTTTGCCTCATGATACAAACTCACATGAGATTAAAAAAAAAAAACTCATAAATAAGAAAAAAAGTATCAGTGACGAAATTTTATCACAAATCACTGTGTCGCAAATTTATTTATGACAAAATTTAATTATTTGTGTCGAAAATTGTTATTTGTGACAAAAATTATGACGAAATTTTTTGTCACAAATAAACTTTTTCCTTGTAGTGTAATGTATAAAAAAGGTAGAAGAGGGTCTCAATGTGTGTTTCTCTGCTAAGCATATTACTTTTTCATTGAATTGGTATCTATTTAGTTTCATATTTCGCACTGTCTCTTCACTGCGAAGGGGTCAATCTCGGCTTAATAAAGCAGCGTAGAAAAATGCGTAAAGGACAGGTATTTCTTTTCTCGTTGCTGAGTACAATAGAACTATAGTCGTCGGCGAATTTTCTTCGACTAGGTAGGCTTGGCCTTTTTGCCAAGATCGACCTACTTCATTAAAAGCTGAAATATTTTCTCGTTTATATTGCCCAATAGCCTTCCTCGGCCACCATTTCCTAAAAAGTAGATAAAACATGCCCTAGAAACACGCCAAGAGAGTTAAGACAATAACGGTAACTTAAATTCAATCTTGCTGCCTTTAATTCTCTCTTTACTGTCCTGTACTTTGTACTAGCTCTCTCTCTTTCTCTAAATTGAAAATGTCTTCAAATATTATGATATTTAATTCCTTAACATGGCTTGATTAGTTTCATAAAACAAGCTTAATGTGAGTCAGTGGGCTACAACTATACAGGGGACCCGTGGAACATTTGCATGTGTTCTTGCTAGCTATTAAGCAGCAGTTATTGCGTGCAATCTTTGTTGAAAAAGGATGGAGCAGAAAACGTACATTCATATAAAGCTTCATAGTTTTGTTGCAAATTTAATGTCTTTATGCATGTGGTCCTAACTCCAAACCCAAATATCCCAAATATTCAAAACTTGAATTTGACTTTATTTGAGTAGTCATATGATCTTTGTTAGGTTGATGATGTCGTTTCATTATTGTGAGCACTTCAATTCTTCAGCAATCAGCAACTAACAAGTTATCATAAACATCAGATACTACGTATATATAGGTCGAGTCATATTTATATGTATCGATCATAGACGGCTGCTGGCCAATACCTCACATTGCGTCATTTTGGACAACATCATAGGAGAATTCCACAATTTGATTACTTAGTAATTAATAGCATATTTAGGAGATCTTTTTTTAACTTCTCTTCTTATAAGCATAAGTTTAGCCAAGCATAATTTTACAAAAACTAATATCATAAAAAGAGTTTTTTATAAAGAAAAATAAAATAAAATAAAATAAAAACAACGTTTACTTAAAATATTATACAACTCAACCATCAAAAATACATTATTATAGAACTCTTATATATTCCATTCTCCTCCGATGAAGGAGATGGGTAAGATTTATTTTTAAATTGATAAAATTACAAAAAAAAGGATAATTTAAAATTTACGTGATAATTCTTATTTATTTCACTCATTTTGAGAATTTCTCAAATTAGGGGAATGCTTACTCAAAATTAAAAAATATTTGTTCTACCTTTTGCTCTAAATATTTTTTAATTATATATGCCTCATTTATTATTAATTTTTTCTTAAAATTTATTTATGCTGTTAATATTTTATCCTAATTTTCAAATACTCGTGCAATATACTAAGTACTTGATACCATGTCAACTTATATTCAATTTTTTACTCAAATAAAAATAGTAATAATAAAAAAATATTTA